CCCAAACGTAAAGGCTTGCGGCTGGGAATGCGTAAGGAAGCCCTTCCAAGTCAAAACAAATGAAAGATTGTTAATAAGCACCATGTGTTGGAGAGAAGCCTCTTGTACCGGAGGAGACGCCGAGCCGCCTCCTCCTCCGAGAAGATGCGCGGCTCATCTATTGTGCAGCAGCAGAAAAAAGCAATTCAATCCAAAATGAGAATGTATTTCAAGGAGAACCAGGAAGTGAGAGCACCAGGCCGGTCCGGGAACCTTTCAGGGGGGTCCCACAAAAATGAGTCGTCAAACTGCGGCCTGTCCAGAGACCTTGCGAGGGTCCCACAAATGGTGAGATGCCATTAAAACTCCATCCAGTCCGGGAACCTTGAGAAGGTCCCACAAAAGTGAGCTGATGATTAATTCCAGCCGGACCAGCAACCTTCTGAAGGTCCCACAAGAGCGAGCCGCCATTAAGCTTTGGCATGCCTAGGAACCTTCCGAAGGTCCCACAAGAGCAAGAAAAACTTTGGCCCTTCTAGGAACCATTCGAAAGAGTGAATTAGTCAAAAGACTTGTCTGTTCAGGAACCTTCTGAAGGTCCCACAAGAGCGAGCCGCCAATAAGAAGGTTTGTAAATGGAACAGAGTGAGATGCCAAGAAAACTCCATCCTGTCCAGGAACCTTCCGAGGGTCCCACAAAAGGTGAGCCGCCATTCAAACTCCAGCCGGCCCAGCAACCTTCTGAAGGTCCCACAAGAGCTAGCCACCATTAAGCTTTGGCCTGGCTAGGAACCTTCTGAGGCTTCAACAAGAGTGAGACGCCAAACTGTGGCCTGTCCAGGAACCTTCTGAAGGTCCCACAAGAGCGAGCCGCCAATAAGCTTTGGCCTGTCCAGGAACCTTCCGAAGGTCCCACAAGAGCAAGTCACCAATAAGCTTTGGCATGCCAAGGAACCTTCTGAGGGTTCAAGAAGATTGAGACACCAATAAACTCTTCGCCTGTCCAGGAACCTTCTGAAGGTCCTACAAGAGCAAGCCACTGAAAAACTTTGGCCCGTCTAGGAACCATGCGAAAGAGTGAATCGTCAAAAGACTTGTCTGTTCAGGAACCTTCCGAAGGTCCCACAAGTGTAGGACTTTATATACACTTTGATAGAACCTTCAGAAGGTTCGTAGATGGAACAGAGTGAGATGCCAAGAAAGCGCCATCCTGTCCAGGCACCTTCTGCAGGTTCCACCAGAGTGAGACACCAAACTCCTTCCTGTCCATGAACCTTCTGAAGTCCCACAAGAGTGAGACACCAAACTCCTTCCTGTCCATGAACCTTCTGAAGGTCCTACAAGAGTGAGACACCAAACTCCTTCCTGTCCATGAACCTTCTGAAGGTCCTACAAGAGTGAGACACCAAACTCCTTCCTGTCCAGGAACCTCCTACAAGAGTGAGACACCAAACTCCTTCCTGTCCAGGAACCTCCTGAAGGTTCAACCAGAGTGAGACACCAAACTCCTTCCTGTCCAGGAACCTCCTGAAGGTTCCACCAGAGTGAGACACCAAACTCCTTCCTGTCCATGAACCTTCTGAAGGTCCTACAAGAGTGAGACACCAAACTCCTTCCTGTCCAGGCACCTTCTGCAGGTTCCACCAGAGTGAGACACCAAACTCCTTCCTGTCCAGGAACCTTCTGAAGGTCCCACAAGAGTGAGACACCAAACTCCTTCCTGTCCATGAACCTTCTGAAGGTCCTACAAGAGTGAGACACCAAACTCCTTCCTGTCCAGGAACCTCCTGAAGGTCCCACAAGAGCGAGCCGCCAATAAACTCCGACCCAAGAGACTCGTCCTGTCAGTACTTCTATAAAAGCGACAAACTCCGAACACTCCCGGAGAGACAAAATCGGAGAGTTGCATCATCTCTACGTCAAGAATGTGTGAAAGCCTCTGAGAAGAGCACCAGGCTTCCGCTGTTCTATGAATCCCTGCTGAGAGGACAATATCTGGAACTAGGGGGAAAAATGAATCAAAAATGCAATAAATAAATAACGAGGAAACAAAATCTCACGCCACTTCCTTCACAGGCATCTCCAGAGTGCAAACACAGAACTTCGCCCAGCACGGTGCGGCACATGCGATCCCGATATGAGACGCGCCTCACGTGACCGGCGGACACGGGCGCACACGCGGAACATTCCGGAATACTGCTGAAAAATTCTCAGTGACCAAGCGGATCTCACTGCCTGGGTTCACAAACACTTCCGAGGTAGTTTGAGGCTGCAGCTTAAAGCGGAAGTAAAGTCACCATTGTAATCCTCACAGAAGGTCCATAGGTAGTGAGGGAGTCTGTTGCACAAGCGCAGTCCCTGCTAAATTCTCGCCGTCCTTGTGGTGATGTGATTTCCCTCCACCCCAACCCC